AACAAAAATAAATAAATAATAATTTTAAAATTTTCTAGCAACTTATATTCTAATAATAGCTTATCAATAATTTTAAAATTGTCTAGCAACTTATATTTAATAATATTTATATGCTAAAATATACATACAAAATATAAATAATTAAAATTAAAAATTAAACAATAAAACCCGGGCGTAGCCCGGGCCAACCCCTAGTTTTAGATATAAAACCATCAAAACAGACATAAATGATACTCAAAATTTATAAAAATAGTTTTCAAAATCGTTTTTAATCTCTCAAAATTTCATCAAATCTTACATTGTTTTATATTGTCCATCATACCCAAGACATTTAATTGGAGTTTCACAAAAAAAGAATATCGAAAACGAACCGAAATCACCTATTTTTTAAGCTTCAAAATCGTCAATGGAGCATGAGAGGAAACTCCCTTTCACGTGAAGAAGAAGGAGACATGTGGGCCAGATTGAGATACCATTGATTAAGATTGTTTTTGTAGGCCCAATTGGTGGTTGGATTTTGATTGATTTATTTAATTGAAAAAGTAACTAAAAGGTTAGTTTGGGGGAGTGCAAGCATAAAAGGTTAGTATGCATAGGGAGAGGGTAGTAAGGTTTAGTTTAAAAGGGCAAGGGGTATCTCGTGTTAATCCCCGTTAAATTTTTAGACAAGTTTGACGAGGTGGCTGAAGAAGGAAAGAGATACTTCATTCTCATTTGTATATAGATTAGCCAGGGCTTTATAAACGAGAAACTCTGTTGACAACGAAGAAGACGAAGTACACGTAGAGGTAGAAGAAGACTATCTGGGTTTAGGATTTTGGATTGATTCGACTTGGGCTGCTATGGCTTCAGTGATGCTACTGTTTGTAGTGTTCGTGTTTGATCTCATAGCTTTTGGTCTTGCCGTTGCTGCAGAACAGCGAAGAACCACCGTTTGTTTCCCTCTCTCATAAATTTGATTTGATGTATTAAAGTTCTAAGTATTTCTTCAAGCTGTGTTTTTAAAAAATTTCTGGAGTTTTGTGAGATCCAGTTAGACTATAAAACTCTCCAAAAGCATGTTTTTAATATATGTCCTGTTTTTTGTGTTACTTTTTTGGTGATAGTGGCAAATTGTTAATGAATCAAGAGATTCAAGCTACTGTGTGTATGAGAAAGATATCGCAACGGGTCTCGGAATAGGTTCTTTCTTAATCTTACTAGCGAGTCAGCTCTTCCTGATGGTGGCGAGCCGATGCTTATGCTGTGGAAGAGCCTTGACACCAAGTGGGTCTAGATCCTGTGCTATTCTTCTCTTTATAACCACCTGGTAAAAATATATTATCTTCTCTGGTTGCAGAATCAAATTATTTTCATAAGCTTATGTGCGTATATTTAAACATGGATCAGCTAATTATTGTGCATACGCTTGAATCAAATGGAGATTTAGGCTTAACTTTCCAATAGGTAATATACTTCAATGGATTATGATGATAATTGCAGGGTCTTCTTCTTCATAGCAGAAGTGTGTTTACTTGCGGGATCTGTGCAAAACGCTTACCATACAAAGTACCGTGTCTACCTTGGGAACACTGCTCCTTCTTGTCGATCATTAAGGAAAGGCGTGTTTGGGGCTGGAGCTGCGTTCATTGTGCTCACAGGGATTGTCTCCGAGCTTTACTACGTGTGCTTGGCAAGGGCCAAAGACTTTGAGGCTCCTAGAGATCCGGGTATTCGAATGAGTAGCTTGTAGAACTTACATATCCCCTCGTAGCCGATGTAGAATTAAGAAAACTGTTAGACCTTTGTTGTCTCATTGTATTGATTTAGATGTGTTCTTACTTGTATATGAGAAATTGATTCAAGTATTAAGCTGCTGTGGTTTGTTTCTCGTTATTACCTGTTCTTGTAGATTTTGTTTATGTACACAGAACCAGACTTTTGATGTACACAAACTACGGCTCCTCAAAAGGGCAGATAGATCAGCAAATCTGTATGTGCATAACACAGAGAATATACTTTTGTGTATGTCTCGCTCTGCTGTAAAAACTTACTTTACATGGTTTGTTAATAACTAAAATGTAAAGAAGAGTTACTTACAGAAGATGCAAGAATTAGACATAGGGCTGATGAATGATGCTTCCTTCTACAATCCTAAGCGTCTTACTCTCTGTTCCAAAGATGAACAGCATAGCTCTGTTTACGCAAACGTGTCAGCCTCTTCTGTGACCAGTTCGCCTCACCCTCATTCGTGGACGCTCTGTAAATCCTCTGATTTTAATCCTATCCACCGGATAAAACGCAGATGGTGGAAGAACAGAGAATCCTAAATCCGTGGAAGAGGAAGAACTGTTGAGTCTTGCAACGACTCACAGGCACTAAGTATTGTGAGCCCATTTGTTACCATTGAAGGTTCTTGAGAATTCATTGATAAACTTTTCAAGCAGAGGATGCTTCTTGTCAAAGATGAGCACTGCATTGTTGAGCCTTCTCCACTTTTTTGGAGCTGGATCAACTGCTTGTGCTCCGATTACATTGTGGAGGTTGGTGAGAGACTTGAGGATTATAAAGTCTCCTTTCTTCAATCCTTCAAACCATTTCTCTCTGCTGATGTATCTTTGAAGATGAAAGTGAAGTCCAAGTTTAATCGCAAGCAGTTTAAGCCCTTTATCTGTAAAGGGTTTCAAGATTAGTGTTACTCTTTCACAGTCAAGTGAGCTTGAGACCAAGATCAAACAGCTGCTTGGGTGAGATTGATACTGTAGTAAGGATTTTATTTGTATAAAATGTAATAAGAATGATAGAGATCACGGATTTAATGAAAAAGTCAACGTTTTTTTATCTAGAATGCAATTAGTTGCTGAGAGCCAGTTGATAAAATCATTGCCGAGGCCTGGTTATACATTCCATGGCCAAACCATCCAAGTATTTTGTTAATTTAATCATTAGGATCAAAAACGACAAATCCATGTAATCAGGAGAGTTCACTAAGAAACGAATACAAAAATATTTTAGGAAAAGAAGTACAAACAGAAAGAAAGAAACCAAGCCCAGTTTACAGAAGAAGATGATGAAACACTGAAAAGACTTGGAGAGAGACATAATCCAATAATCAGAGAAGACCCCTCCTTCTCTTGTAATCACTAACAGTTAACGTAAGTCCATGTCTCTTCCCATCATTCTCAACGACTCTGCATCCCACTGTTGCTTCTGTCATTTGTTTCCTCGCCATGAACGCTTTCTGTACTCCTTGAGGTCCTCCATACTTCTGCAGCGCAGTTAGCGACAAGGGCAACTCAAAGTTATGCATCAGATTGTGTTCAGCTCCTTGACCTATTGGAGCTCTTGTGTCTATTAGCTTCCCTGCCTCTGCAGCCGCTTCTAAAGCTGCTTCTGTCGCTTCAACACCGTTCTCTCCTCCTGCTGCATCTGCTCCATTGCTCTCAATCGCTGCTGCAGCCGCCGCCTCGTTCTCCCCTCCATCTTTCCCACTGTTTTTACCATTGTAGTAGTTCGATGACCGTGTCCACCTCCTTGAAAACGGATCATATCCAGCTTCACCAGCCTTGAGACTAGCAGTGATTGATTTCACCTCGGATGCGTTCTTGAAATTCTCAGCTCTGTTCTTCTTGTTCATCTCGTAGAGTTTGAGAGCTTTTTTATCTACTCCTTTCTTATTCCGTGATGCATCGAGCTGCTTGATCTTAGCTTTGATCCTCTCCACACCTGTTTGATCGTTTTTGCTCTCTGCAATCTCCAACTCCTTTCTAAGCCGATCTTTCTCAGCAGCAACATTCATTGGCCTGACGGATGCAGATTTTTTCTCCTGCAACATCTGCTTAACAGTCTCCGCCGAGTAAACAAAACTGTTGATTCTTTTGATCGCTTCTTTCTTCTCTGATACATCTTCCTTAGAGGGCAGACGACCATTCGTCCTCTCAACCTCTCTGATCCATTGCCTATACTCTTCCTCCAGAGGATGCCCATCTGAGACCATCGCCATTTGCCAACGAGCAGCAGAGCTTTCATTACCCCAGAACACGTTAAGATACTTGTGCGTAGTCTTGTTCTCTAGCTTGTACACCTTGTCTGGATCAGCTGCATCTACATTCTTGACCATGCAGAGTCTATAAATGGGACCACTCTTTGACCTTCCAATCCCAACTCTCACAAAGCAACCAACAATAAGCTCCTCAAAGAAAGGCTCCATAAACCATTTAGCAAGCTTAGACCTCCTAATAGTAATCTCCTTAATATCCTCATACGTAGGCACATCAGACCTGTCGTCATCACTGTCCACCATTCCTCCATTAGACCCTTCATCGTCACTCCGAGACCTATCACTGTCACTCGAGACACTCAACTTCGAAGAAGCTAAAGGCTTCCTCTTCATCGAAGAGAAATCTCTGCTACCTGAACCACCTTTCGACGCATCCCTCAGCTTCCTAAGACCCGCAGGGTCCTGCTGCTTCATACGCTTAGCCCTCAACTCATTCAAAGCATCATCCTTCGCAGCAGCTCTATCTGCAGATCTAGCAGAAGACCTCACACCACGAGAAGCCGCCGGAAGAGGCTTGGAAACAGGGGTTGTATTCTTCTCGTTCTCCCTCTTGGACCTAAGCTTCTCGGTGAAGCTCTTATCACCTTTCTTATCAGCACGCTCAGCGAGAATCATCTCTCTCTGAAACTCAGTCATCCCAGCGAGCTTCTGCCTGTCTTCCTCATTCTTGTAAAGATCGTCTCCGAAGTCGGATTCCTCGCTGCTGTCGTCGTCAGCTTCACGGTCAGATGTGTCAGCTTCTCTCTCTGCTTCAAGTCTCTTCTTTAAAGGGACTTGAGAGCCAGAAGGTTTTCTACTAGTTGTTGGGTAGCCACGGTGGTCTTCGTCAGAGTCTTCTTCCCTTGAATCACTGCCACCATCAGAGTAAGAGCCTTCGCGTCTTCTTGATGATGATGGAGGAGGATGAGAGTGACGGGCTCTAGAAGGAGCTGCGTTTGTTCGCCCAGCAGCTTCCAGAAGCAAGTCATCTAAATCCACCATAGCTTTCGCCTGCCTCACGAACGATAAAGGCTTTAAATTGGTTTGCCCTATCAAAAGAAGTTGAAGGTTAAGAGAAGTATAAGATTCAACATAGTTAAGAGTTGAATTAAATGAAAAGAAGTCAACTTTTAAGAAATTAAACAAAAGGGTTACGGACAAATAAACGAATCGAATTTGAGATCTTGAATTAGGGAACCTATCTGCGCTTAAATTCGATTCACCACTTATGGTTCTGGGGGGTGAAAGAAATAAAAGGAAAAGGGAAAAATTTGGAAGGGGAACTTACTTGAGACGAAGAAGTCGCCGGAGAGATCGACGGGCGGCGGAGGAAGTGTATGTCAATTGTCGAGGAACAAGAAAACTTGAGATATAAAAGATTTGCCTGACTTTTCAAGTATTTTTGGGTATAAAATAATTAAATATTTTTGTGTAAGATTAAATATCATCTTTAAGACAGTATATTTATCGACCGCATAGCGCAGTGGATTAGCGCGTCTGACTTCGGATCAGAAGGTCGTGGGTTCGACTCCCACTGTGGTCGCTTTTCTTACCTTTTTTTTTTTTTTTAAACTCGTCAAGCTTTTAGGGTTTAAAGATTCAATCAAATTTCATCTCACACTGTTCCTAGTGATATCTATCTAGGAAAAGACAGAGAGATCGAAGAAAAATGGCTTCGTCTTCAACATCTCTGAAAAGAAGAGAGCAACCAATGGCCCGAGAAGGAGACCAGCTTATCGTTACTCCTTTAGGCGCCGGAAACGAAGTGGGTCGTTCCTGTGTTTACATGTCCTTCCGTGGCAAAAACATCCTCGTCAGTTTCCCTCTACTTTCGCTCGAATTCACCCATTTTGTAAAGGTGTTTGCCTTTTGCTGTTGCGAATTGTCTTAATCGTTTGATTTGATGTGCAGTTTGATTGTGGGATCAATCCTGCCTACTCGGGAATGGCTGCGTTGCCTTACTTCGATGAGATTGATCCTTCCATAATTGATGTCCTCTTGATTACTCAGTATGTCTTCTAAACTGAGTAAAGCTTCAATCTTTAAACTTTCTTGTACAAAAACGAAAGCTTTAAGAGAAGTTTGTTCTTTTGTGTCTGTTTACTTGAACAAGTTTGTTTATTTTTCTTTTGCCTTATGTTCTTTGATACTTTCTTGTTGCAGCTTTCATTTGGATCATGCTGCATCCCTACCTTATTTTCTTGAGAAGGTGTGTGTTTGAGTCTTACTCAATGTTTTTGTTGTATCTTGGATATTCAGCTGGAACTAATACAGATTGGTATTGTTTTGGATTAGACTACATTCAAAGGGAGAGTTTTCATGACGCATGCCACAAAGGCTATCTATAAGTTGCTTCTTACAGATTATGTAAAAGTCAGCAAGGTTTCAGTAGAAGACATGTTGTTCGATGAACATGACATCAACAAATCCATGGATAAAATTGAGGTCTGTAATTCTTATTACAACTTGTTCTTGCTTTGTGCTTAGCTTATCATTTTATTTGTATATCATGTTTATGTAAGAACAGTATACTGCTTTCTTCCCCGATGATTAAGAGAAGTTGAACCAAAGTAGTGTGTTTGAAGTTTACTTTTAAGAATCCAATAATTAGCCCTTTGAATGTTTGCTGTGTAGTGTGTGCAGCTTTAGTCTTCTTACAAGTTTAAATCATTGATAAGATATACGATTCTTGTTCTCTAAACATCTGGTTAACTTACCTTAACGCCTTGATCAGTCCATTGAGTTATGGTTAAGTTTAAAAGAATTGATCATTTTAAGCTTTATGTTTTAATTCCTCTCTAGGTAATTGATTTCCATCAAACAGTTGAAGTGAACGGCATAAAGTTCTGGTGCTACACGGCAGGCCATGTTTTGGGCGCAGCCATGTTCATGGTCGATATAGCTGGTGTCCGAATCCTCTACACAGGCGATTATTCCTGTGAGGAAGACCGACATCTTAAAGCAGCTGAGCTTCCTCAATTCTCCCCTGACATATGCATCATTGAATCCACTTCCGGTGTCCAGCTTCACCAATCTCGTTACATCCGGGAGAAACGCTTCACTGATGTAATCCATTCAACAGTTGCTCAGGGAGGGCGTGTCCTGATCCCAGCTTTTGCCCTCGGCCGTGCACAGGAGCTTCTCTTGATTCTAGATGAGTACTGGGCCAATCACCCTGATCTGCACAATATCCCTATCTACTATGCATCACCCCTCGCCAAAAAGTGTATGGCCGTTTACCAAACCTACATTTTATCTATGAACGACAGGATCCGCAGCCAGTTTGCAAATTCTAATCCCTTTGTGTTCAAGCATATATCTGCGTTGAACAGTATAGATGATTTCAGAGATGTTGGTCCATGTGTGGTTATGGCTAGTCCTGGAGGTCTTCAAAGCGGTTTCTCGAGGCAACTCTTTGACATCTGGTGTTCAGATAAGAGAAACGCGTGTATAATACCTGGTTATATGGTGGAAGGTACACTGGCCAAAACGATAATCAATGAACCAAAGGAGGTGACTCTTATGAACGGTCTTACTGCTCCTCTCAACATGCAAGTGCACTACATCTCCTTCTCTGCTCACGCAGACTATGCGCAGACTAGCACTTTCTTGAAAGAGCTCAGGCCTCCAAACATCATCCTTGTTCACGGTGAAGCTAACGAGATGATGAGGCTCAAGCAGAAACTCTTTACGGAGTTTCCTGATGGAAACACGAGGATCATGACTCCGAAGAACTGCGAGTCGGTTGAGATGTACTTCAACTCTGAGAAGATGGCGAAAACCATTGGGAGATTGGCTGAGAAGACACCTGATGTTGGCGATTCAGTGAGTGGGATTCTGGTGAAGAAAGGCTTCACTTATCAGATAATGGCACCTGAAGATCTCCATGTTTTCTCACAGCTGTCAACGGCGACTGTTACTCAGCGGATCACTATCCCTTTCTCGGGAGCGTTCGGTGTGATAACACATCGCCTTGGGAAGATTTTCGAGACCGTGGAGTCTTCAGTAGACGAGGAAACTGGGCTTCCAGTGGTGGTAGTACACGAGAGAGTGACAGTGAAACAAGAGTCAGAGAAGCACATCTCGCTTCAGTGGTCATCTGATCCAATAAGTGACATGGTTTCAGACTCTATTGTAGCTCTGGTTCTCAACATCAGCCGGGAAGTCCCCAAGATCGTTGTGGAAGAAGAAATTGCTGTGAAATCTGAGGAAGAGAATGAGAAGAAAGTGGAAAAGGTTATATATGCTCTTCTTGTGTCACTCTTTGGGGATGTGAAGCTTGGAGAGAATGGGAAACTAGTGATAAGTGTCGATGGCAATGTGGCTCATTTGGATAAAGAGAGTGGAGATGTAGAGAGTGAGCATGAAGGTCTAAAGGAAAGAGTGAGAGTAGCTTTTCACCGGATTCAAAGCGCTGTGAAACCAATCCCTCTCTCAGCGGATTAAAAAGTAGCCGTTGAGGTTTTTTAATCATCTTAGATTTGTATCATCGGTGTCCTGTTCCTGTATCCAAGTTTACTAGTTATGATGATCAAGTCTAATGGATAATATTAAGAATTTGTGTTTATGAAACTTTCCTGATTCTGTAAGTTTTACTGTGATGATGATTACTCCAGTGGATGTCACTTCGAAGGTGTTCTTATACATCAACAATTTTAGTTTCAGTTTTATATGATTTTGATGTTCACATTAGTTAAATTGTTTCTTCTGTGTTAAAAAGGTCATTTGTATTCTCCTTTTTTACCTTTGGAAACATTGGGTTTTGGCTTTTGAAATAAAGAAATAAATGATTATTAATAATAACATATATCGACCAAACGCATATCTCCATCCATAATCTCAAAGTCGGGTATATTTCCATGCATAATCTCAAAGTCTAGTATTTTTACTGAATGTAAAATATTAATAAAATTTGTATTATTAAACATGAAACATAACATATATTTTACAACAAAATATATAGAAACTATAATACAGTAAATTTATATCATATCGGGCTTATATCATTCATTGATATTCTCTGGTTCAACCAGAAAATCTGATACATTGAGATGAGTATCATCATTTAAACCATGAAAGGATGGCATGGGTTCATCAGAGATGAAGTTTGTTTCACATTTTCCTTTCACTTTTCCTTTTTAGGATTCTCTATACAGATCGGCTAAGTGTTTTGGCGTACGACAACCACGTACCCAATGACCTTTCATGCCACATCTGTAGCAAACCTTTTCTGTTTGCCGATTATCATCCCGGTCCCTTTCATTTTTTGTGGAAGTTTTTATAATTTTTAATATTATAGATCTTCATTCTCTTTTCTTTTCTTTTTCTTTTCCTTCCATGGTTATAGAAAACAACAAAATGTTATTTCTTTTGTGAATTTTCACTGTGAAAATCCTCTGCCCGCTTCTACCAAAGTTATAAATTGAGAAAGGTTTAACTATTGTATGAGCAAGAACTTATAATAGAGAAAAATTTCGATCTCACATGTATCCAAAATTGGAAACATTGGCACTGCTAACCGGGGAATCTTGTCGTCTCCGATGAAAACCATTCCCCATACCTTTCTAACGGATGCGAGGAGAAGACAAATGAGAGAGTGATCCCGTCCATGCCGCGAACACGATAACCACTGTGGATAGTTTCACTGTCTTGGGTCGGTTGGCTCCCAATTCGTTCCCGTGCGAGTTGAGATGACAAAGTTCAGCGAAGACATATGATGGAAAATGTTGGTGAGAAGATCTTTAAGTGAAATTTGTTCACAACACTAATATATTACTACTGTTACACTAACTGCAAACTCATTCAAATCTGTGTGAGGATGCAGTGTTAAGATTCACTTGAATCTTATCTTTTGGTGTTCTCCACCAAAGAGTACTAAAGCAACAACAAGTCTTTTTTCTTGGGACTTTTCAAGAACAAAACTTTCTAGATAAGAAACATTTTTTTCTGTGGCTCTGTTAAAAACTGTGACTAGTTGGATGAATGTGTGATTCTGAGAATTTGACAATAAGAATTTGGTGAGAAGTTAGTTGCATGAATACATCTGTTGTTATTGTAGCTGATAAGTTGCTAAAGGTTCGTATTTTGCTTTGTTTTTCTAGAATTGTTAAAATTGTCACTTGGTAACTGTTCGATGATTAATGGTCTTATTCATGTGTTTGCAAAGATCAAATGATTTGGTCAGGAACATTGGTGATTTACTTGAGATGAATTTCTCTCCTCCTACAGTTGAAGAATAGTTCATTTTACTGTTAATTATTGTATGTGTATACTGTAACCCAACTTTATCATGTGAACAACATAATAAGGACATATTCAGATTTTAATCTGTCCTAATTGACTGAGTGAAGTATCTCTGATATGAAACATGAACACAATGAATTCATTATTATACTTTATGTAAAAACTCTTAATGTGGACATTACAAAGGCGTACAAAAATAAAGGTATATACAAGAACATTGTCTTGTCTATCATTGTGGACACTAAAAGTTGGAAAATTTGAAATATCCACCTAGACATTACAAAAAGTATACAAGGACAAATGTATCCACAAGAGTATTGTGTATCATTATGGAAACAAAAAAATCAAAAATTTAAAGTATCCATGTGGACATCACAAACTGTGTACAAGAACCAAGGTATCCACATGGACACTTATATTATGTACACCGATCATTTTAAACATGAGATTTTGCTTTCTGTTCTATGGATATTAGATAGGTATGAGCAATAAGAGTGGGAAGAGATGTTTTTGAGGTGTGTATGGACCAACACGCCTAGGTTCAAGTTGTAAGGTTCACACTGCTCTTAAGATATATGCATAAGAGACTGAGGAAGAGTTTGAAGTCAAGGAAGATACCAAGGCTGATTTTGGTGTACACATGGACATATGTATACAAACGAACATGTACATATGTATACCAACGAACATGTACATAAGTCCACAAACAACATTATATGAGCTATACAATGCATCACAATAAAATGAAAAAGCTATTGTCTCTGAGTTTTAATAGTTTATACAAGAAGATCAAAAAAGTCTGCATGAATCTTTCTTGTTTGATCTGTCCTAGTTAATTCATAAATCACTTAAGCATATTTCTTAGTTAATTCTCAAAAACACATGCTCGTTAATGCAAAAAAAATCTCCCATAGTGTTTTACTTCCTGCAAACAAAGGTAGAATGATGTGTCCAGCTTAGAAATAAAGAATCAAATACATGATTATTTTCCAGTTATAAAAACAAAACACTTAGACACAAAATTTAGATGGAAGCAGAACTTAAAAACCTAAGAGGGGTAGAGATGAAACCCAATCTGATGAATGTGTTAGGAGAAATCCTGAAGTGTTGAGAAGAGAAGATGCAATGCATAGATTCACATCAAGACATATCTTCTTTTTCACCCAATGTGACAATGGTTTCTCTAAATCACAAATCATTAACCTTCAATCAGATCCACAAATGCCTCACCAACAAAATTCGCTCTAAAGAATAGAACTTTGGTTTCAAAATCAAAGTCATGAACTTACTTGGTCCTCTCTCGACGACGTAGTTGTCTTGTATATCCAGCGTTGAGAACGGATACGAGTCTCTATTCCATAGATCAAAGAGGTTTTCTCATTTTTTGGGCTTTTCTTAGGTACTCCCTCGTCTTAGTTTCTTCGCTTCAGGTGCCTCTGCAATTAACTTATGTTGTTGTCTTGGGCTGGCTATCCCGACTTCTTAATCTTTGTCATAAAGAGTTTTTGTTACTTCCCAACACTTTCGTCTCTATCATTTTTTCTGTATTTTTTTTTTAGGTTAAACGTGCAGTTAAGTTAAAAAGGTAAAAGAAAAAACTAATAAAAATGAATAAATTTGTGTGATCGTGGATGAGATTTGTGGGCTATCAGATTTTCAAATTCAAAACAAACCGAAACAAAAGACAGAGGAAACTAAAACAACGTCAATTAGGAAAAAGTAAGGTTACCAAAGTAATAGACCACAAAATATTACCTTATAGCAAGAAGTACTTTACAGTGTAATCAATACCATTAAAATAGGATAATTTCTTTTAATGAATAATTTATGTTTTCCTAAATTACCCTTAATCTTATGAAAAAATTTATTTTTTTATTAATGGCATTTTAGTCTTTTTTATTTAGGTCTAAAAACTATATACTAATGGGTTTCATTAATGGGCTGATTCTCTTTCAAATTTTAGAAAAACATTTCTTGAAAAAATATATTCTTTTGCGGGTTAGGTGAGTCAAATTTTTCAGTCGTACAATGACTCAACCCGCTACGTTTTTTTTTTGATAAATAACATTTTTTTTTAAATAACAATCACTTTGTTTTGATAAATTTTAATTGTATCTTTTAAATAATTTATTGTATTATGTTTCTTAAATAATTTACTGATTAAAAAAATGTAAAGCAAAACCAAAAACCAAATCTAAAAACTAAAATCCAAAACCAAAAGCTGAAAACACATATTATATTTTTTTTTGCTTTGTTTATTTACAATATAAACTATTTCATTTTTTTAATTTGTTTTCATCTTTTCAGTTTTAAATTAGATGTTCGATTATTTGAGATTTGTTTGTTGGTAATATCAGTTCAAACTAACTCAGCGGGTTTAAAAATTAAAAACCCAAACCAAAAACTGAAAATGAAAAGTAGAAACTTAAAAACTAAAAACCAAAAACCAAAATCTAAAAATAAAAAGTGAAACTAAAAACTAATGAAAAACAATCATCACCACAAATTTTGGTGAACTGATTTTATATCAAAATATTCTTTAAATTTAAAACAAAACCTAATTATATAAATTTTTAATCATAAAAAAATTTCCGCGCTTTTAAGTGCGGGTCAAAATCTAGTATAATATTATTTTAGGGAAATTGCCAGAAATAACACTTTCAAGATACCACTTTTCAACTTTACACTAACCAACTTTACCATTAAAATTTTAATACTCAAAATACTATTAGAATTTAGGATTTAGGGTTTTGGGTTTAGGATTGATAGTTTAGGGTTTAGTGTTAATTTTTTAGGGTTTAGGGTTTACTTTTTAGGGTTTAGAGTTTAGGATCTAAGGTTTAGAATTGATATTTTAGGGTTTAGAGTTGATTTTTAGGGTTTAGGGTTTACTTTTTAGGGTCTAGAGTTTAGAATTGATTTTTATGGTTTAGGGTTAATATTTTATTTAATATTTATTTTATGTATATATATAAAGAACAAGGATATAAACTATTTTATCCTTTAATAAAATGTCTAATTTTTAAAATGTTTTTTTGTTGAGGGTAAACATGAAAAGTGGTATCACCAAAGTGGTATAATTGAAATTCTCCCATTATTTTATTTTTTCTTTTAGAAGCATCTTCGTTACCCATTTGATAAAAAAAAAAATACAATAGTAAGCCCTGCTCTAATACAATTAGCCCATTTGATAAAAAAAAAAATACAATAAGCCCTCTGCGGTGCCTTTCGGCAAGGCGGGAAAATCAAAGTTAAACACATCTCTTGCTTTGCTTCATTCCATTCTCCCGAATCAGATTTTGGTTCCTCTCTTCAGTATATTTCCGAAATCAAGAAGCACGGAACTTGACCGAAGCCAAAATTGATGGCGGCCCACGAGTATCCAAGGTTCTCTCGCTCTGACATCATCACCGTTCTCACAGAGTTCAACATCGCTTCCGTCAAGGACGCCGATCTCAGAAACCCTACTTTCGACTCCGTCTCCGACCTCTACACCCGAATCCTCATCTATCTCGACGTCCTCAACGAGTATGATATTCCTTAACTACCTTCGATTTTGAAAAAACCCTAATTTTTTTCAATTTGGGGGAAAACTTAATCGTCTCAAAAATTTTACTGTAGAGAAGAGAAAGGGCAAGTCGATTTCGAGGCTCTGGAGCAACTGGAGAATCCGGATCATCACACCACTTCAGCTCCGGCTATGATTCTTTACGTCAAACTCAAAGATACGTTGGAGATGGTGGACTGTCCACTAAACATCAATTTCAAGGATCTGATACGTCCAGACTCTTCCCGCACCGAGTATTTCATCAGTGCCCTTTTGAACTATGGTCTACACAAGTATGTTGCATCTCCTTTCTCTATACTGATTTTTTGAATCTATAAAGTTTGATTTTTTTTTGTTTGTTTATAAACAGGGAGTCGAAAATGGAGCTTATAAGACCAGTGATGGAAGAGTTGTCTCTTCTTGATGAGCAACGGATGCAATGGGAGGCCAAGATTGCTCAGGTAATTCAATAGATAAAATTATTGTCTTCTTTTTTTTTTTGTTTTTTTTTTAAATGGCGTTTCTATACAGTTGAATGCAGAGATTGCAGAGTTTGATGAAGCCTCTGAAAGAGATTTGCCTTTTGTTCAAGAGCTGGAAACGAACATTGAAGAACTCAATCAGAAAATATCAGAACTCAATAACCAGCAGCTGTCCCTGCGAGCTACTTTCAACAAAATGAGAGAGGAGAGTACACTGATGGATAACAAGGTAAGGAAACCGCAACATATGGCATTGAGAGCTTCTTCCTGAAAGTAGTGTTTGACATGTGTATTTATCTTTATAGATTTCGAAAGCAGAGTTTGACCTTGTGCAAGTTGTCCAAGAAAATGCAAACCTCCGCTCACAAATTGTTCAATCCCCAGACAAACTACAGGTACATTTTATCTTTTAACTAGCGTCATACAACATTGGTTCATATGTTCGTTGTGGAGACAGGGAGCTTTAGAAGAGAAGAAACTAGTGCTCGAGGAAACAAAGAAAGCTGAACGATTGGCAATGGAGACTTTCCAGGAAAAGGCTGCCATTCTTGAGGTTTATGAAAAGGTATATACTGAATACTCTTGATTGTCACTAAATTACATTGGTTGTCAGTGACCGAACTAAATTCTTTTATGACACCTTTTGCAAATTGATAGTTAACTGTTTGAAATTTCCAAGTCTTCGATTATTGTTGATGCTGCTCTCAAACGATTTCAACGACGTCATTATTTTACTAAGTTTGGTGTTTGTTGCTATGTGACTTTCGTTCACACACCGTTTATTTTGGTGTAAACAGTATACTAGACGAGAGTGAATCCAAGGTGGATATTATATAGATCGGGACTTTAAAATTTGCTGTTAATTCATTTTTTTTTCCTAGTCTTACAGCAGTTACTTAAGCTTTCATTATATGAGCTTTATAGGTGTGTATCATCAATGTTTTGCTTAACCACTGTGTGTGGTAATAAGGTTCATTCTATCTATGGGTACCCTTTTGCAGGCGTTCAAGAAAATGTCAAAGTCATCTGCGCAACTGCAATTAATTAACGAGCAGGTGACCAATAAAGATAATTTCCTCACACTTTTCATTGCTTGTGATTGTGAACTATGCATTGCAGCTCTAGCATGTGGCAAGGCAATATATTGCAATGAGATGTAAAGTGTCTTTGGATGTATCTTCATTTTTATACGTGTCTGATGATGTTACAGGTAACCAATGTGAAAGCAATTGAGAAAGATCTAAAATCTCAGAAAGCAAAGTTAAGTGAGGATGGAGCGTTGTACAAATCACTTGAGGCGAAAGTGGTTGAGCGAGAAAGAACAGGTATTTCTTTCCTCTTAAGAGATACTTTTTTTTCAATTTGTTTTTGTGCAGATGCTGTAATTTTCTGTTCTTTCTACAGTGAAACAGTTGCATGAATCGCTGAAGCAGCTAGAGAAAGAGAAAGAAGTCATGTTTAATGATTGGACTAAACAATTGAATGAATTAAAAGTGGAAGTTGTATCCAAAAGACGTCAACTTGAAGCCAGACAAAATGATGTTGAATCAGTTGTTGCTTTGGTAAATAGTCCCTTGCTTTTGAACATTTTAACGATGTGCGCTTTAGCATGGCCTGTAAGATTTTTCGTTGTTTATATATCAACAGGTTGATGAGAATTCTGCTAAGACTAACCAGGTGAAACAATCAGGAGAAGCTAAAGTGAAACAATTAGCAGCTAAATATGAAAAGATCGTGGAGCAGGTTTTTTTTTCTCCATTTTCATTTCAGTCATCTGTTTCTCATGCTGCATCACTATTAAATCACTTGAATAGCAGAGTTAAATTAGGCAGATCAGTGTTTTATTTAAGTGCTCTTGGATATCGAAAAATCATGAAAATTGGTACTCATCCTCTTTTCTGAACCATAAGCTTTGATAGTGCAATAAGGAGAAGTTTTGTAAGTTAAAAAACTATCTTAGATTATTGGCAAGACAGGTTATATTAAGCCTTTCTTTGATGGTGGCAGTTTCATGAATACACGGTGACATTTGGAGCGGTTCTTCAAGTTTCTGAAGAGGAAAGAAGGTTTGATTGAGTTAAAGTGAAGGTAGAAAAAGATTGTAATGTTTCTTCACATTTCAAACCAAATTATTGTGATATGTATTATTTCTTGGAAAATGTTATAGTTGTGCTTGTTTCTTGAGTTTCTGAGTATTGAAGAAAAGACAAAATGCTTTAAAAATCTAACAATATTAAAAAGAAAACTAGATTTTGACCTGCGCTTTGAAATCGCGGGTTTTCCTTTGGATTGTAAACAAAGTTTGTGAATTAGTATTCTAAAATTATTGTATATTATTATGCTACAAAATTATATAACCGAATCGACTCGAAAATATATGTGTGATTGGGTTTAGGTCTAGGGTAAGTACATATTAGACTTTTTTTGTTCCGGCCCTGGGTTTGTGTTTGAGTCCGGATCCTATCTCAAACCCGATCGGCTAACCAAAGTACTTGATTTTTTTTGTGTATAATAGGTATATTTAGTTAATTTAGATAGGTTTTTGGTATTACATTTATTTTTAGTTTTCATTTGCGTTTTCAATTATAGTTTCAGATTTCTGGTGAAATTTCAAAATTTTAAAAATATATTTTAGGTACTTAGATTTTTTTTTTGCTATTCTCGGTTCTTCATGTCAGATTTCAGATAAAATTTTGGATATTTTAGGTAGTTATTTGAATATTTTCGGGTATTTATTTCGGTTTTCTGGTATTTTAATGTTTCAGTATATTTTTGCATTTTCGGCAACTTCGATTCTTTTTCGTGTATTAAATACCTCAAAATTATACGTATTTGAATTATGGACCCACTCCAACTTAACCCTAAGAAACTGACCTGAAAACAAACCTAAAATTTTCAAATATCTAGTAATGTTCAAAGGTTCAGGACCCGTTGAACTCATAACCGAAAGGTAACGATACATACCTGACACCAATACTTGAATATCTAAACCTACTCTATCATTTTATTGTTTTTGTACATAAAATAAGAACTACATTTGTTAAGCTGCTGAGATTTAAGATTTACTTGAAAGTTTTTTGGTTAATTTAATAATTTAGATTTGTAAGATTTTTATAGTTTTTAAATTTATTTTAAATAAAAAAAGATTATTATGATTTTGTTTCTAACAGATGGTTTGCTAAAGTGTACCTATTAAATTTGATTTTATAAATAGTTGAAACATGTACGATGACAACATATAATATGTTATATATGCTAATTTGTAAATAAGTTTCGAAATATATTAAAGTATAAAGTTAGTGGATTAATAGCATATCTATAGTAAATTCTTTTCTTTTTTATAATATTTGTAGCTATATATGTTATATCTTGGTTTTTAAAAATAAGGCCAAAATATAAGAAGGAATGGCAAATGGTAATTATGTCTCCGTCTTCCTCGTTCATTTTTTTAGGTTTAAACATTTTTGCAGACAGATCCACCGTCAATTTCTTCAACCCAACCTCTCATTCTGCTGCTTGAAATAAATTGTAAACGGCATAATTTGATAATTCAGTGGCCGAAGCTACATCGGGTGTAGCTTTGAGATTGGACTGACTTAGTTTTGAGTTATTACTCATCGCATTTTCCAGATCTACGGCCAACGCGGAAGAACCGTTACCCCGGATCAAGCTCCCGATCAGCTTCTCTTAGCCACGGTATATCTCCAATCACCGTGTTTACGTGTAATCAGCAAACGGGAACCTTTTAGAACTTGTAACAAACGTATGTACATATTTGAAAGGTTAATAAACAGTTATAAGTTATATTAAATTGTTTGATGTTAGATGATTTTATTTGGTTGCTATATGTTTGGGGTTAGTTATAATATTTGATTATATGTCTAGGTTAGATTAAAAATGAAAGGGTCCAAACAACTTATATAAGTGGATGTTTTAAAACTCTTTCTCTTTTAATAGTACTAGATTCGTTTTCCGCGCTTCGCGCGGATTATATATTTTAAATTAATTTCTAATTTTTTGAGAATTATGATAACTACTTTTAATTTTACTAAATTTTTAAAAATCATAAATTCCCATATTTTTAATAATAGATAATGTAAAATTTTGGTCAAAACACAAATTTTTAAAATAGGAATATGTTTTATGAATAAAATATCACGACTATAAAAAAACATGAGAAAAGTAGACTGGAGTTGTTTTTCTATTTATCTTGAACTCACTTCTTGCCTTTAATTTTTCTTTTAAACGTCAAAATATATATATGTATGTATATTTGTAATTTTCTTATGAAAAATTATATTATGATAATGTGTATCTATTTTTATAGATTGATTAATATAAAATTCAGAGTTTTCATGTAAATTTAGAGTTAATTTTCTTATAGTGACGAATTTAAGTGATCATTTAAATACTTCACAATTACTATGTATATATGGCAAGAGAAATTGCATTAGGTTTCATGAGAAATAAGCAAGTGTGAAGTGCATACATATATTGGAGCAAGAGACAGTATAGGGAACATTACATGAGGCCTCATCTTGAGTTCGTTTTCCATGTCCATGGCAATAGCTGTTCCACCTCCTATAATTAGCTGTTGCAACAAAATCCAATCAATGTTGTTACGTGAATGCGATATAGGTTTCTTTTTTAAGGAGTTGAGAGAAACAGTACCAATCATGAGCGAGACTAAAACCATTGAAGTATGAGAGCGGTGTTGTTCCTTTTCCAAAAGGATTTACTGAGCCACTGATTACACCAAACATCCAAAGGAAAAGCTTATGGATAAACAAATAAAAAACGTAGAGTTTTAGATTCAGGAGTTAAACCACAAAACCTTACGCTGCAATTGTGAGCAAACCCTTCAACACACCGTTTACATGGCCTGCAATGCTACTGCTGTGTTTAACTTAAATAAACACAAAAAGAATCGTCTAGAGAAGTCCTAACTTTCATAAGAATAGTGATTCTAAAAAAAATGCAAACCTTTAAATCAAAAAGTGAGTAATAAAAGATATTATCTTCCCCCTCATTAGGATCTGGTGTAAAAACCTTCTTTAGCACACACCTTCCTGAGTTGTCAAAACTTGAAAAGAAGTCATACACCAAAAGAGTTTCTCTCCAGAATCATAAGGAGAACCCCCATTCCACTCCATTCTTCTCTATTAAAGATTCCACTTAGATACAATTTTTTATTGTTCAAAAGAGAAGATTCCACTTAGATTCAGTGAAAACACTGTATTTCATACCACATAAGTTTTCTGGATATGTTTCTGTTTTGTAGTGTGCTTCTGCCGTGATGATTCAATAGACATGCTGGCTGTTTCCTCAACTCTCTTATAATCTCTTTCCTGCCAACTTATGGAATACCTGAGCTCTCTCTTTCAACGAATTAAAGTCCTCCTGAAACAGTGTGATGCTTTAAGCTGCAGAATCAGAAGATACCCCCATAAACGACAGCTTTTTAGAAACAATAAATTTGATAAATCGATACATGAACATAGTGAAATGAAATCAACAAACCAAATAATAATAATTTCCCTAATCGAAGGTGTACTACTAACAAAGAAGCTATTCATTTTTTTTAAAAAACATCAAACAAAAGCATGTATCTTCTTTTTTCATCGTTGGTTAGTGTACTAATAACAATAAATATATGGTATCACATAACCAAAATACTTACCAAGTTACAATTTCACAAAAGTTGCTTTCTAATACTGTCCCCTCTCCTGTATAACCCCCCTAAACACAACTTCAAATCCCATCCAACGTTGCTCGCAAATTAACTCTATATATGTGTTCTTTCTACGTGAAGTGACCACTTCTGCTCTTGTCAGCTGCATTGCTTTCATCCACACAAAGTTGTTTCAGAATTTAAGACCAAGAGAAGTGTTATGTAAATATATACTAATATAGTATACCTTTTACGTTTGTTCTTCAAGACAGTGTACAAAGATGGATTGCTGTGCCAATTCCTCTTCCTCAGATTGGTGAACCAAATTGTTTATCTGCTTCACATTGCTTTAAGGTTACTGAAAATGGGATGAAGAATTAAGATAACACAAAGTAACACTGGATCAAACAAATATCAAAACAGAGTAACATAAAGGAGATAGAAGACAGAAACACAGTCACTGCATTATAAGATGGATTGCTGCGTTTCAGACGACTATTGAGACGGCGCTGAAGCAGCGGCGTTGGGATTCCAGCTCGCCAATTCTATTCCTTCACCGTATTTGATGAAGTTGGGAACGGATCTTAACATCACACCTAATAGCTGAACTGGTTAAGATTCAAATTCAAAAACAGGATAATATGGAACGGAGAGTCTAATTTACTCACGGTGGGATTCTTCAGCAATTTATCATCTTCAACAAAGTGATGATTGATTGCTTCTCTGCAACTTCCGATTCAAGCTTAGGGGCAGAGATTGGTGGTAAAGGGGTTTATAGAAGGAGACAAGCCAAAGGACTTGGAACGATACGTCTCTTACCTTTAAAAGAATAAAGATCATAATTGAATGATCGAGAGTGTGTGATAAATTCAGATATGCAGGGGTGCGAAGTGGTGCCGAATTGGAAGAGCCGGAGTCGTTTTAGCTTCCGTTGAAGATATGTAGGGGAGACGTGGGCTTGAGATGGGCCATATGGCTAATTATTATGAGTCCAGACGAATGATCCGATTGTTTTAATTGAAGCAAATGTGACGTGGCGAAATTCTAAGTTTCTATTGGACTATTATTTGTGCATACGTGGACAGCTTCAGAAGGGTTTATTTAGCCCTTTTAATAGTGTTAGATTGACTAGATTTTGACCCGTGCTTTTCAAGCGCGAAATTTTTCTATGATTACAAATTTATATAATTGGATTTTGTCCTAATTTAAAGAATTTTTAGTATAAAATCAGTTCATAGAAATTTGTGGTGATGATTGTTTTTGATACGAACATTAGTTATTTTTTTAATAGAATGATTGTTTTTCATTAGTTTTTAGTTTCGGTTTCGGTTTTTATTTTTAGATTTTGTTTTAAATTTTGGTTTTTAGTTTTTAATTTTATATTTTTGATTTTTAGCTTTTGGTTTGGGTTTTTAATTTTTAGACCCGCTGAGTTAGTTTGAACGGATATTACCAACAAACAAATCTCAAATAATCAAATATCTAATTTAAACTGAAAAAATGACAACTTTTTTTTTAAAAAAAAATTGCAATAGTTTATTTTATAAATAAACAAAAGCAAAAAGTTTAATCTGCGTTTTTAACTTTTGGTTTTGGATTTTAATTTTTAGATTTGGTTTTTGGTTTTGCTTTACATATTTGTTTTTAAATCTGTAAATTATTTTAGAAAAATAAAACAATAAATTATTTAAAGTTACCATGAAATTTATCAAAAAAATAATTGTTATTTAAAATAAAAAATACATTAACATGTTTTAAAACATGATTTAAATAAATGATTAATAATACACAATTTGTTTTTGTTAAAAATATTAAATTTTGGGCCTGAAAATAATAATTGATTTTTTTATCTAGTAAAAAGGAAAGTTTATTCAATGTTTTTTGGAGTTTTCCTTAATAATAAGCCCAAAAAGCAAACCATATAATTTGTTTTAAAAACAAAAGAAAGCCCAAGATTATATTCCATAAATAACCACCGGTTCAATTTAAGTAACGCGGTTCAATTAACTATATGATTTGTATTATTTGTAACATTCTAGAAAGGGTCCGAATTTAAATGACAACTTGTATTAGTAGATAAAAGAATGACTCTATTTTAATAGAGTAGATTCATTTTTACTCATAACTATGATGGCATAAGAAGTAATATTTCAAGGAAATCCAAGGGTAAATCTATAAAAGAGATCATGTTTTAATAGTATTGATAAGCTGGAAGGAGAAGTATGCCACCTCAGATTTAAAAATCAACCAATCAAATAGTCAGAAACTGCCACGTCAGTTTTGACAGATCAAAGCTGGGCCTCCGTTTCTCTATCTTAGTATATGGCTTAACATTTTAATCCAGTTCATAACCACCTTACCAAGCCCTATTTACGTCTGAGTCTATTGAAAGTCCATCTCTCATTCCCCGACTGCTCCACTTCTTCTCCCTCATTCGTTCCCCTCTGAAGTAAACGTAACCAGACATTAGAATTGATTAATAAATGAAGGTCTTTAAGCTCCTCTTGATTGTTTCGTTACACTTCCCGTTCATCCTCATCCTTGTTGTTGCTACTCCTTCACTTCACACAAAATAAAAAACCTACTATGAAGCAGCTACATCTATGGCTAAGAAATCGACCGGAAAATATCAGCTCTCCACCGGTAGGTATCCCGTCGCTTTTTACTTCAACGACGTCTCACCAGGTCCAGCTGAATCAGAACTCTGATTTCGCTTGATCCACTTATGGGAATCCAGAAACATAGCAAAAGGTGGAATCTTTATGGCTTAGAGATGTTCCTCATCGACGAACAGTTATGCCTACTTTTATTTGGTTATATTTATTCCAAGTTTAATGATTTAAAATAGGAACAAGCTTAATAATATTTGGTTATGGCCCGTTTTAAATTACCTTAATTTTTTTCCAGATACAATGGTTCTCGAAACGTGTGACCTTTCCACTTCGCCGGCATCTTTTCTAATTTCTGCAGATTGCCGTTTCTGTTGAGTTATTATGATCCATTCAATCCCATTATTTTTTTTGATGGTCGCTCGCACTGAGAAGCGATATGACATGAGAAAGATGAAAAGATAGTCCCAAATCTGGGAATATTTTTTTTCTCAGTCTCCCTTATTGATCGTTTCCAGCTTTTTTAGAATTGCTTTTGCATATTAGTTAGAAATTGACATTGATGATTTGCTTTAGTATTTCAACATGCAACATAGAGATTAGTTTATTTGTCATTTTCGATATTTAAGGGATTACCTTCATCATCTTATATATTCAGAATATGGCTGCAAATGGAACGGTGGTGGAGCCTCCGCCTTCTTGACTGATCCAGCTAGAACGACAGATATGTCTATAACAGTAAGGATGAACTCAGAAGACCACACCATCTTTCTTCAAGTGCAGATTTCAGATGGCAGTGGTAGGTTTTAAAGCTCTACTTTCTAGAAGTTTAGTTTCTTTGGAACATGAAAGTTGTTGGGTTCGCTAGAATCTTGCTCAGCTGTTAGTATGTGTCATACAGGTTACATGAGAAACATTCACTTTCCGTTCAGTATTGTGAAGGACACACCTCTTGAAGTAGCATTGGAGATGGTGAAAGAGCTTGAGATCACTGATTGGGATTCTTTGGAGATCGCTGCAATGATAGAAAATGAGATATCTTTGCTCGTCCCAAACTGGAGCGCCCATGAAGACCCTTCACTTCTGCACCAAAGCTTTGGTCATGAAGATGATGATGACAATGGCGAAGGAGGACGGCGAAGAACACGCCCTTTCTACTCTGATGTTTGCTCTCCAGACCCTACTGTATCAGTTAAACACAACAACAACAACTCCCATGAGGACCCTTCTCTCATGCACCAAAGCTTTGGTCATGAAGATGAGGGAGGAGGACGAAGTACACGCCCTTTCTACTCTGCTGCTTCCTCTCTTGTAGCAGTTAAAGAGAACAAAAATGCCCATGAGGACCCTTCTCTCTTGCACCACAGCTTTGGTTATGAAGTTGATGATGACAATGGTGAGAGAGAAGGACAAAAAACACTGCCTTTCTACTCTGCTTCTTGCTCTCCCGACCCTACTGTAGTAATTAAAGACAACAACAACCCCCATGAGGACCCTTCTTTCCAGCACCAAACCTTTGGTCATGAAGATGATGACTATAATGTCCAGGTAGGAAGAGGAGGAAAAACAAGTTTTTTCTACTCTGCTGCTTGCTCTCCAGACCCTACTGTGGCAGTTACAGACAACGAGGGTTCAAGTAACGATGGTGGCAGTGGTAGAGGCTCCTCTAACACTTTGTTAAGTTCTTCAACATACCAACAACACTCTCCTCCCGTTGAGGATGATGATCAAAATCCGCAACGGAGGAGAAGGTTAAAGTTACATAAACTGAGATCGCTTGTGGACAAGAGAACACAGGTGCTGCACCGTTCGCTCATGGAGTTGATCAACAGGCACGCCAGGCGCGGGCGTGGCTCTAACATGAACTTGAACGAGTTACAACATCAACCTGTTGCTGACTTCTTGTGACGATCTGATACGAGTGAAGCTAACATGCCTCCTATTTTCTATCAGTACTACAGAAAGAAGAAGGGAAGGAAGGGGCCCAACAAGACATCAGCCTAAGGAGAGAAGAGTTGACACATTCGAGAAGGTGAGGTGGCATCCTTCTAGAAAGAGAATAATTAAATAACCACCTGAAGAGATTTGGCACGTCCGAGGAATAACGGATTCGGAGGTCACGTAGAGTCATGCTATTTATGTTGTTGTTTAGAGTGAGAGAAGGTATCGAGTGTTTGAGTCGATCATTGAGTAGGAGCTGAGAAATCTCCTGTGAAACTTTCTCATTGCAGTAATTTTTTGATCGATTGAGTAATAAATACACTTGTTTCTCTTTAGATCATTCACATGTACAAAACTTGGTATCAGAGCACGGTTGTGACCTGAGATTGAGTATGGCACCAAAGAAAAACGAGGAGAAGATCACCGAGCTCGCCGATCACGTTGATGAAAGGATCGACTCGATCGAGAAGGAGGTGTGGAAGATCTCGCCGTTGGTGAGGTGTATGGAGATATTCTTCAGCCATTACCCGTTCCGCTAAATGTGTGGGAAGACCTCTCGATGGAGTTTATCGAAGGGCTTCCCAAGTCCGAAGGGTACAATGTGATAATGGTGGTGATTGACAGGTTCTCTAAGTGTGCTCATTTCTTGGGGTTGAAGCATCCGTTTACCGCAGTGGATGTGGCCGTGTTGTTTGTTCGAGAGGTAGTAAAGCTTCACAGGTATCCAAAGACCATTGTGTCTGATCAGGATAAGGTCTTCACGGGAGTGTTTTGGAAGGAAATGTTTCGTCTAGCCTGCACTAAACTCTGCTTCAGTACTGCATATCACCCGCAATCCGACGGGCAAACTGAGGTGACTAACAAAGGGCTCAAGACCTACTTGCGTTGCTATTCCAGTGAGAAACCGCGCACATGGGCGCAATATCTAGCTTGAGCGGAGTACATTTAGAATACGGCTTACCATTCAGCAGTTCAGATGTCTCCCTTTAAAGCAGTTTATGGAAGGGACTCTCCGACATTACTGGGGTCCGAAACAGGGTCGACAAATTATGAAGACTTGGAGAAACGTCTGAGGGACAGGGATGAGCATTTGAGCCTCATCAAATAACATTTACACAAAGCTCAATAGACGATGAAGAACAGGGTGGATGGCCACCGTCGAGAAGTGGAATTTCAGGTAGGGGATAAAGTGTTCCTCAAGCTCAGACCCTACAGACAGCAAACTCTAGCTCGCCGAGCTAATGAGAAACTCGCGGCTCGTTTCTACGGTCCTTATGAGGTCGCAGCACGAGTAGGACCGGTAGCTTATCGGCTTTCATTACCAGAGTAGGCGCGTATTCACCCCACATTTCATGTCTCTCAACTTAAGAAAGCTGCGGGGGAGGGTCTGGTCGAAGCTTCGATTCCTCCTCAGCTCACTGTCGATGGGGTGATGGAGGCACAACCAGAGAAGGTCTTAAACTCGAGGATTAATCCAGGGTCTGGTCAGCGTGAGGTGCTGGTTAAATGGAAGGGGCTTCCCATGTCTGACTGCACATGGGAGACATCAGAGAAAATGGCGAAGCAGTTTCAGGACCTTGACCTTGAGGACAAGATCAGTTTCAATGGCGGCGGTAATGATACAAATGAAGCTAACAGGCCTCCTATTCTCTATCAGTACTGATGTGAGGAGTTTTTGAGGCTCCTAAGGCAAATGTTGTAGTATAGAAGATTGTTGAACCAGTTCTGAGGGATTTAAAAGCACCGAGAATGCAAGTACTAGCTTAATCTAAGTGCGATCATGTGATTGATTGGTTTTTAAGGTTAACTATAACTAGAATACAATAAAATATATAACTTTGACAAAGAAGATAAAGGAGAACTCATGGGTATAGGGAATTTGACCTTGGGTGATCAAGTTTCGTTCTAAGGATGACAAGCGATCAATTAAACTGTCTACCGTAGGCCTAGATCCGATTCTAAACAAGCTCTATGTCTAGATGAATGTTCATTTACTACCATAACTCAAGCATCAAATGTCTTTGGTTGAATATTATGAAAGTAATCATTAGGAATATATCTATTAGCCATCTTAACACCTTTAACAACAAGTGTCCCTGGTAAAGACTGTTAAAAGCTTAAGAGAGTTGACTCAGACATTTCATCGAACACTTTGTGAGTGGGAAATGTCTAAAGATCAACCTTTGAGTGATCAATTCAAAAGAGGCATTATGGTTACATCTAATAAGCAAGGAACAAGAGAAATCTAACACTAAAACAACCTAGAACTAACCTAATCACCATTAATCTCCCTAACCCATGAATTCAAAAGGTGATTACTCACTAATCTCCATGATTCCTCTTAAACCCATATTGGATTTCAGATTAATCATGTAGAGAAATAAACAAGAAATCAACAAGAACACAAGGTGAAAGCAATCAATCTCAATCAAAAGAAGTTTTCTTCAAGAACAATAGATAATCTGCCTCTGGAGGCTTACAACGTAGTTTTAATTAGGTTTCTGAAACTCAAAACATAAAAAACGAAAATCGCAAAAAGATCCTCGAAAAAAGTTTTTCGTCACATAAAAGACGCTCAGCGGGGTCACAACCCCGCTGCCAAGACCCCGCTCCGGAGCTCACAGCGGAGTCCCGACCCCGCTGCCAAGACCCGCTGGGAGTGTTCTCCATTTTGTTTAAAAGCAGAGCAGCCCCCTAGCCCCGCTGCGTGGGTCCGCTGTGGTATGGGCCGACCCCCTGACTCCGCCCGTGACCTTGCTCCGGCTGGTGTTGCTTGCAGCGACCTCTTGACTCCGCTGTGGCTGCTCCGGCTCGCCAAATGACATCTTTGCACTCTCTTTTGGCACATAATTGATCCCAAACACCTCCAAGAACTCCATAGCATGTTCCACCACCTGATAAAGACAAATGAATGCAAAATGCAATCTAAGAATGCCTAAATCTCTACAAGAAAAAAGGGTTTTTATAGGAGAGTAGGATAGTGTTTTTTTCGTTTATGCTATGTTTGGTATATCAATAAGTTTTCGATAGCGTTTGTTTAATTTGAAACGCTATCTTTTGTTGGGGCGAATTTTTATGTATTTTGATACGTGTCTTAAATAGCACTTTAGATTAGAAACACTATGTATTAATTAGGCGGAATAATTTTTTTCATTTGCCCGGGCAAAGTTTCATTCCCCTCTAATCCCTAATTTTTTCATTCTTCCTTCACTCTATCTCTTTTACTCATCTTTATCACCGTCATCCTCTCTTCTTACTCTCTTGCTCATAAAATCTCATCTCTTTGTAAGATCTTGCTCTTGATTTTAAAATCTCATTGGTTGGGTTTCCAGATTCTCTAAACAGAAGACTTCTTCGAATCAGAATCGAATCTCTTGATTTTAAAATCTTATTGTTTTGTAGGAGGCTTTCGTTTCAGATCTTCCATGAGCAAGGTACCTGTCCTGTGATTTTCTGGGTTTCTCTATAACCTTGGTTGCAGGTCAATGTGTATGTGAGTTCAATCGATTAAAAATATTATTGTACCAATCGATTAATTTATTATGCTTATATCAAACGATTTGATGATTGTACTGAGCACACTTTGTGTTTGTTTTGATGCGCAATTTTTCAGGCTCGTATTAAAAAGATTAGGCAAGCTGACGAGGATGTTGGCAAGATAGCTTTGGCAGTGTGTGTCTTAGTTTGTGAGTCACTTTGTTATTGCTGACTTGAGTAGTTTTAAAGGCACATGTGGTCTTGGATAAGGTCACACCATCAACATAGCTTCTCTGCCATAAACCTCGCCGGTCAAGCTCTCTCTCTCTCTCTCTCTCTCTAATATTGTTTTGATTTTGGTACATGAAGGTGGGTCGTGAGCAGAGTTGGTTGTCGTGAGCTTAAAGGCGGCGGCAGCGAATCCCTCGTTTCTGGTTTAATTGTTTTGTCTCTGAAGTTAACATGATTCACTTGAAAAAGTGAAAGTCACATTCTTTTCTCTAATTGTTTCACTTAGGGACTCTTGATTCAGTGGCTCTAAGAGAGCTGATGCAACTTCAGATTTGAGTGGTGCTATTGAGGTTTGTCACTCTTACTTACGTTTCGAGTTACTTGTTTTACTACTGAAAGAGCATATCTTTAGTAGCTATTTTCATGTTGACAGGCAGGAAACAAGGAGGACTTTGAGAAGTAAGCAAACGAGCTGTGAAGGTAGTACTCTTAGTTGTTATACCATCGATTTCAAAGCAGCTCGATGACAATTGCATAACAATCTTCATTCTGCGGTTGCTGTAACAGACTCAGACTCATTCTACTCCTTTCTTCTCAGACGGCAAGTCTTGGGAGTCTCAGTTTGGTGATTTCTTCTTTGACTTGGTGTTCGTCTCTTCTCACTTTCATGCGGACAGTAAAGTGTTTCTATGTGGGAAGTTACATCTCTTGTAGAGATTCCAACGATCTTAGGATTGTTTTGTAGGTTGAATATGAAGTCCCTAGACTTAGCAATTGCTTTGGTTTGTGTATTTTGATGATTCTATTTTGTAGTTTAAAATAGAGTCCGTAGACTTAGCAATTGTACAATCTAATACCAATAACAAAATTAGAAAAAAAAAATTATATTTTTTACCATAAAATCTAAACCCTAAACATGCCCTAAACTCTAATATCCAACACTTATTATTTACCCTAAACATGCCCTAAACTCTAATATCCAACACTTATTATAAATAATTTCAGAATGAACATTTTAAATTCAAATACCAAATTTAGATTTATAATGTAATAGTATTTTTAATTTTCAAAACACAAATCTTAAATTATTGTTCAAAAACTAAATTATTGTTCAAAAATTAATATGTTTTATATTTATAAAATACCTATTAAATTCTGATCTATAAAACAATGTTTGTTTGTAATATAACTTTAATCTTAAATTTAAATTCAAAATTTAATTATTTTAAAAATACAATCTAAACTTTAAATTCTAAACT